TCCCTTGTCCCTGGGTTTATTAACACCACTTCCTTTCCCCCACCTTCCCCTCTTCCATGTCCCCCTGGAGCCGTCGGTCCCATTGTTTTCTCCTCCAGGTTTTGTATTCCGCTTATCTTATCTAGATAACGTAGCCCTTATCTTAAAGAGAATAAATTATAATTTCTAAGTGCACAATGCCAGCCAAATCTTTGGTATATATCTCTACCAAGTTAAAGAAGTTCCCTTCTATTTCTTGATTGCTCAGAGTTGTTACCATAAAAGAATACATTGAGTTTTACTAAAGTTTTTTTCTATTTTTATCTATTGTGACAACCATTGTTTTTCTCCTTTACTTGAATTATGAATGATACTGATATATGTGCTCATATATCAATTAAGCAATCCTCATATTCCTGGAATTCTACTTGGCTGTGGTATACAAGTTTCAGTATATATTTGATTCAATCAGAGGTAGGGGTGTGTGTGTGTGTGTGTGTGTGTGTGTGTGTGTGTGTGTCATGTACTCATTCACAGGGCTGGCTGTGCAGGGTGGAGACTGGTGAATGTGGCTGGATTCTGACTAAAGTGTATTTTCAAAAAGAGAAACAGATATTATCTTCTTAGAGGGGGAAAAACACTCCATGTGCTCCCTCTTTGCATTTTGTTCTATTGATAACGCTGGGAGCCTTGACCCAGTTTGTCTCGGGGAAAATGGCAATTAATGAAGCATCCTTGAAAAGGTTTCAGAAGTAGAAGGTTAACAATTGAACACTGCTTGTAGTCCAAGGGTGGCACTGAGCAGGGGACGGAGTGGGGCACCGAGTAGTACAACCATTTTCCTTCCTTTCATAGAACGCAGAGAGCAGTTTACAGCAGAAGAATGAAACCATCACATCTTTTGAAGGAAGAACCAATCAAGTTCTGTCCAACATGAAGCAAATGGAAGAAAGGTAACCACTTCCCCTGGCAGGTATTCCTCAGAAGGGACTGGACATTCTCTAGACCTGGGAACGAAGAATCTCTCCAAAGGTACAGGCAGGTTTGGGTAAGTGCTTCTTCAGGTCCATAGTCTCCTCCAACACAAGAGCTGGTCTCACCAGCCTGCCCAGGTCACTTAATCACCTTCCAGCCACTGCATCAGCTAGTGTCTTCTCAAGGCTTCAGAACGGTATGGTGAGCTTCGCATCACTAGCATATTTAAAAGGTGAGCCAACAGTGGACCAGACTAGAGTTAAAAAACACACACAAATATGGCCAAGTGATTTTGTACAGAAGTGCAAACATAATTCAATGGAGAAGGCAGAGTCTTTTCAGTAAATGATGTTGCATATAAACATACAACATCCCCAAAATGAACCTCAACCTACAGCTTGTATTTTAGTTTTTTTCAGTCAACTCAAAATGGATCATAAATCTCAATGTAAAACATAAAACTATAAAGTTTTTAGGGGAAAAAAATCTTTTGTGGTGTTGGGTTAAGTGCAATTCTATAAGACTGTACCTAAAGCACAAACCATAGAAGAAAACTTGATAAATTTGACTTTATTAAAATTTTTTATTTGCCCTGAGAAAGAATTAACAAGATAAGTTACAGATTGGAAGAAACCAAGGACTTGCATCCAGATTATATAAAGAACTCTCAAAACCCAACAATAAGCAAAGTGGGCAAAAGACTTAGACACTTTACCGAATCTGATTTATACATGGAAATTAAACAAATCATCTGCCATTTGGAATTGCAAATTAAAATCTTAATAAGATGCCACTATATACTGATTAAAATGACTAAACATTCTTAAAAACGGACAAGGATATTGAGCAACTAGAACTGTCTCATATAGTCCTAGTAGGAAGTAAAGTACACACTTAACCATATGACCCAGCAGCCCCACGCCTGGTTATGAAAATGTATGTCCACATAAAAATCTGTGTACAAATATCCATAGCTAGTGTTTTTTAACCATTAGAATGTGATATTAGAGGGTCTGTTAGTCCAAGTTGACTAGAGAAACAAATTCATAGACACTCATAAGTGTATAAGAAAGACCTTAAATGAAAGAGCAGTTGTATATTGAGAAAACATCCCAGCCCAGTCCAGATCAAGTCCATAAATCTGATTTTAGCCCATATGTCCGACACCAATCTATAAAGTCCTCTCCAGACTCACGAAAAACATGTGATAACGCAAGATCACAGGCCAGTGGGTGGGAAGTCTTGTGGATCCGGTGGCAGTGGAAACATCTCAGTACTGGTATAGGTGTCCACATGTCTCCTCCAGCTGAGTGTCAGCAGGAGGAAAGGGAAGGCAGAGAGAGTGGGTCTAGCCTCCAGTAAGCTATTTATCTCCGTTGTGCCTCCAAATGAGGTCATCAAGCTGCGATGTGATTGACAGGCTAGACTCCACCCCTTTGCCCAAGTTGACAGGAGGTTATGTAACTGCCACAGAGGGCAACAGCAAATGCTAGTAGCTAGTGCCACAATCAGTTCACGTCAGACCTATCACTTACTAAACCTATTCTCAAGTATCAAAAAATGTGCAGTTTTGTCCACAGTGATAATTGTAGGAACTCTCTGGCACTTATTTAATATACCACACTTCTGACATGGTTTTAAGTTCATTTATATTAAAATGATGAAGGTTATTTATATTACCTGCCAACAAACACATTTAAGTCCTTGGAAGTTGTGCTCACTTCAGCAGCACATATACTAAGTCCTTGGAAGTTTATACAAACAGAAACCATTATATTTCTAAGAGAATAGATTTCTGGTAGAATACTTTTTTATTGCCCCTAAAAAGCAAAATTTGAAGAAAAAAAAATTGAACAGCCTAGCATGACCAGGCTGTTGAAGAGCTGCACAAAGCCCTCTGGGATTTCACAGTGGACACCACCCAGGGGTCCATGAGGAGGTCACAGAGTCCCTCACTCTTCGCCCTGAACTGAAGAGTGAAGCGGGGCTTTGGCTCGGCTAGTGCTTCTCCATGTTGCATTTCAACAGAGCCGCCGTGGTCCCTCAGACATCGGCTGGGTGCTCTGGGCTCTCGCGTGTGGGAAGAAACCTGTCTATTTCCACCACAGCGCAGCCACAGCTGCAGCAAGAGGACGATAACACCCGGCTGTTGCTTGAACCAGTGGCCCTGGTGGTGTGGCTGCAATGCCCGCTCCATCCTTTGCCAGTTCCAGCAAGGACGAGTGTCTTGGGCTGTGTCAAAACCTACCAAACTCTCCCGTCCAACCATTCATCTCATTGTACAAAGTGAGGCCAGAAACAAACCAACCCACAAACAAAGCGACTAGGAGCCCCTTGTGTTTACCTTGTGAGAACCACTCACCTGCAGCGCACTAAGCGTGTCAACCCTGATGACTTATCTCCCACAGCTACCTGTTCTTCACAGGTCTGTCCGTAACTGCCAGAAATGGGAAGCAGCCCAGATAACCCTTTACACTGCAGTCCATGAAGTACTTACGCAGCCATTCAGTGGGATGAACTATCAATGCAGACAAAGGCTTACATATTCCTCAAAGACATGATGCTGAGAATAAGACCCCAGTCTCAGAAGGTTATAAGAAACACTTCCATTTACGTGATGTTCTTAAAGAGATGAAACCCCATAGTATCAAAGAACAGATCCGGGGTTGACGGGTTAGGGAAAGCATCTGGCTACTCGGGTAGCAGCACAAGGGAGTTTTGTGGAGTGATGGAACAATTCCATAACATTAAAATTCATATGAGAACATGAGAGCCAGTTTATATGTAAAAGAACAGAGAACTTTAAGCCCGCAAGAATATGGGAAAATGTGACCTGAGATTGTGAGACATGATTTTTTTCTTGTGTTCCATCCAGGCTGCAACATTCGGAGCGGGCCAGGCAGGGGGCCGAGGAGCAGAGCCACAAGCTACAACAGGAGCTGGGCGGGCGGGTGGGTGCCCTGCAGCAGCAGCTCGCCCAGCTGCATGCACAGTGGTAGGCCTGGCCCACGAGCTCCGGGAGGGCTGGGAGGCCAGGAAAAACTGAGAGCACTTCAGAGGTTCATCCCCCTTCTCCGACTGGACTTAGGATGAGTGCACATGTGCTATGGGAAAAGGCGGCAGTCATTATTCCTCCTTCAGCTAAGGAGAAAAGGGCTCAGAGGGGCTGCATGGCATTCCCAGGCCCTCAGCTGAGAAGAGGGAGCAATCACTCCTGGCCAGCCACTGGCTTTCTCCTCTGGGGTTCTCTGCTGTCAGTGGCCTCTGGGAAAGAAGATTCTTTGGTGGTCGTTCTTTGTTTAGAACGCATCTTTTGTTCTTCTCACTTCCATCATGTCCATTGTGTACCTGTCCTGCGTCTCTCCTACATGTCCCCTGTCATACGAGGTGACCCTGAGGGAAGGCCTCCAGGCCCAGGTCTTGCTGAAGGGTTTCGAGGCTCCAATGGTAGCCTGAGCAGGCTTTGAGGTTGTAGGTTGTGGGGCTGCTGTGAAAAATCTCCGTTGAGACTAACTCAAGTTTATTTTGGACACCCAGCTCAAGTCTAGAGAAAGAGTTGAAGTCCGAAAAAGAGCAGAGACAAGCTCTCCAGCGAGAATTGCAGCATGAGAAAGACAATTCCTCTCTCCTTCAAACAGAGCTGCAACAAGTAAAAGGATTAAAAAAGGTAAAGTGAGTTCACCTTTGGGCGAGAAAGAGCTGCTAGCCTACTGCAGACATTCCTGCTGAGAGCCCCACTGCACGTCTCCCCTCCCTGGAAATGCCTGCCTGTCTTGGGCTCCATGGCAGCCACAGAGCAAGCCCTTGCTGTGCTCCAGTGTCAGTGTGGGGACCCTGCTCAAAGAAGGCAGGGGAGGGCCTACTCCTGTAGCGCGTATGTGGTGAGAAGACAAACGTGCTGTAAGCTAGGGAAACGCGGTGCTGGGCAGTGCTGTGAAGAGGCCTCAGGAAGAATATGTGGGCGCTGAGGTAGAAGCAGGGGCTCAATATGAAAGGGGAGGTCAGTCCAGCAGAGACCTGAGGGATAGCCAGAGACGACCCGCAGGGCTGGGAACTGAGCTATCAGGCAACAGCTGGGGATGGGCCATTGTCTTTTTTGGTGTCATCTTCTCTCTGGGGGAGTTACACACCCTCTCCAGACTCTCAGAGCTACTGGTCACCTCACCGGTTTCCACGCACACAGCCGGTGAACAGAGGGTCCCGCGTGGCTGGAGCAGCCCCCAGGCCTGGATTGTGGTTGTATTAGGTAGGTAACGGTGCCTCTGTGCAGTCAGAAAGGCTCATTTGATTGCTTTTGGAAAGTGCCAACAGGCCTTTTGACGCGTGGAGCAGGCCTGGGGCGTGGAGGTAGGGGCAGAGCTGAGAAGGCCACCACATTAAGACCACAGGGAGAAACTGAGGAACTGGGAAGCTCTGTTGAACCATGGAGCATGCCCCCTTAACACCACGTAAAAAATACTTGTTTTAGATTTGCGTTAGACTCCCCCTCAGTAAAGAGCACCATGTGCTTCACCCCCAGGATGCCTCTGTGCCTCCCCCTCGCACTAATAGGCCCGAGGTCAGGAGATCCTAGCATGGGGGTACTGCTCACCACTCAGGCCTGAGCAATGGGAGAGGACTGGTCCTGGGACCGTGAGTGAGCTCTCAGATCTGGCTCTCTTCAGCCTCACTCACTCACTCACTCATTCGCAGGAAATTCCCAGTACTGTCCAAAAACGCAGTTCCAAAACTGCCTCCTTTCAAAATAGCCTTTGCTGGTACCGGCTTAGCCTCATTTTGTGTACAATTTACATCTAAATACTTTGAGACAGTTTACCTGGATGGTGGTGGTGGTGGTGGCTTTCAGTCTTTTTAAGTAGAAGTTCAGGTGGGCAGAGTGTCACTCGCCCTGTGAGGGGGCCTATTTTTCCTCGTCTCTCCACGTGGCTGCATCCCCAACCCCAGCCAGCTAGAGAGCACTCGTGTAGCATCGCCCCCGGTGCTGTCCCACGAACGATTAGTGTTCTGAATGAGCTAATTGCAACCAAATCCCGGGCCAGGCGGGGCCCCGGCTTCCCACTCATAGCAAGCCCCCAGGACCTGGCAGAACTGCCCCGCAGGCCTTCTGAGGCTGCAGCTCCGACCGCAGCAGACCGCCCCAGGTTCCTCCCGGGGAGCCGCTGCTTGGGGCTCTTTGAAAGGCTTCGGCCCTGCTTGATACTCTTGTTATTAAACCTTTAAGCACAGTAAGTCCTGGTCTGGTCTGTTCCCTTTAGGAGCTGCGGGAACTCCAGGACGAGAAGGTGGAGCTGCAGAAGGTGTGTGACGAGCAGGAACAAGCCCTCCAGGAAATGGGACTGCACCTCAGCCAGTAAGAGACACTGCCCCGCTCTTTCCTCCCCTGAGTGCTGGACTAGAGATTTGACTCTCTCCCCTCCGCAGTGAGGGTCCCCTCCCAGTCTGCCCATTTCATCACTCAAGCCCCAAGCCTGTGTCCTGCTGTCCAGAAGGGAGGTCCAGTCAAGAAGCTGGCCTGCTGAGCAAGGGCCAGCTCCCAGGAAGCCAGGCCCCAGACATGGCGTGCCTTACATTGATTCATGTCCAGATGAGGGGGAAAGGCAGCTATGGGCTAATAATACTCATATTCACCAACTTAATAGCTAGACCCTAAAGCAACCAGAAAGATCAGCAGTTCAAACCCACTAACTACTCCAGAGGAGAAAGATGAGGCTCCTGTAAGGATTTACAGTCTTGGAAAGCCGACAGCGTACTTCTACTGTGTCCCTCAGGGTCTCGGAGTTGGAAGTGGCTCGTTGGCCGTGGGGAAGGAAAGCAGATGAGTGATCAGAGGGGAGAGGGGGCTGCTCGATCAGCTTGTAGTCAGACCAGGAGTACACATGGTTTCAGAAGTCAGCCCTACCACAGTGAAAGCCCTTCAGTCAGGCCTGCTGCACTACAAGACTCCCTTCTCAGAACAGGGCGCTTGCCTCTCCCGGCGTCTGTCAGACCTGGGTGGTGTGAAGGGACATGGAACAAAGCGCCCTAGTGGTTCTGACTCCCTGTTTTTACAGTTCTCTTCCCCGTCTTCTAGTCCTGAGAGGTCGCTCTGGATGCCCGGCCTTAGGAGAGCGCTCCTATCATCCAGCTTGTGGGACGTGTCCATTTATATGATTCCTCCGTTGTCTAGCCTTCTCTCTCTCTGAGTCAAGACTCTGGTTGTAAGGGACAGATATCCAGTGCAAACTTGCTTACACACACACACACACACACACACACACACCCCTCTCTGTCAGCCTCCCTCTGCTGTCCTCTCTGCTGTTTACCACAGAGAAGCCCAGCCCCAGTGAGTCACCATGTTCCCAGCAAGAACATCCTTCTTTCTCCCTAACTCCCACTGAAGCACTGCTCCCGCGTGATTCTGACCAGACATGGGGACAGTGATGACCAGCACAGCCTGGCCTCTGAGGCACCACTGAAAAAACCCTGGCCCATTAAAGGTCCCGAGCCAGGGTCAAAGTTTATGAGATGAAGGGTTAGTATCTGAGTCTGGAAAGCCGCAACACAAGGAGGAAGGCGTCGGGCGGTCCGCAGCGTGAATCCACATGAGCACCCTTGGTGTGGCAGCCCGCTCAGAGGGCACCGTAGGGACGTAGGTGATTCCGTTCCCTTGTCTCCACATGAACAAGAAACAGATGGCTGAGAGCCGGTCTACAGACCACACGGGGAGCAGTACTGGCGTATCTGGAATCTGGGTGGTGCAAACAGTTAAGTGCTTGATTGCTAGCCAAAAGGTTGGTGATTGAAAGCCACCCAGGTCACTCAGAAGACATGTCTGGCCCTCTGCTACCAAAAGGTCCCAGCCCTGAGAAGCTTCTGGTGCAATTCCCCTCTGCTCATTCCTCTGCAGTGGGTAGCCTATTCCTTCTTTGTAGTCTGTTCATAGTCTGGAAGCTCTGCTGAAACCTGTTCACTGTGGGTGACCCTGCTGGCATTTGGAATACCAGTGACGTAGCTTCCTGCATCAGAGCAACACGCAACCCCCTACAGTATGACAAACTGGCAGACAAATGGTGGGGGGAAGAAGTACTTGGCCATCTGCTTCGAAACTTGGCCACTGGAACCTCTGGCTGACAGTAGTCCAGTCCCGTTGCACACGGAGTTACTAGAAGTTGGGGACTGATTTGATGGCAGCTCACAGCAGACAATGACACAAGTCCTCTAACAGAGTTGCCTCGTTCCTTTAAGTGCTACCTGTCTTTCCTTGAAATGTTTCTTCATATTCCTCTGAATCCTGGGCTGGTGAACAGTGTCCTCTCACCCCACCTCATACGTAGGAGAGCAGGTCTGCGTCTGCTGTGCATGATGCGCTGCCTCCCCTGGCCCCAGCTGTGATGTGGCTCTTTGTAATAAGTGGGGGGACGCCATCACCACCAGTTCAGTTCACCTCCACTCACAGAGGCTGAGAATGTGCTAGTTGCCAAGACATCAGTGCATCAAAGAGGCTCGAGGAGGGTCTTAAGCTCATGTGGGGGTGGCCCCGCCCTTGGCTGGCTAGGACAGGGAAAGTGGGTGCCCACTTAGCTGCTGGCGCTGGTACCTGCAGCCTCTCCTCGAACTGCACTGCAGAGGCCTGCTTCACGGGGTCTCGTTTACTTAAGACCCTTTAGTGTGAAGAGCTATAGATAGAGCCATCCTCTGGGCCCCCATGGGCTAAGAGTCTTCAAGTGTGGGCTGCAGGCTCTTATCTCGAGATGACTGAATGGGCAAGTGTGACTGAATGAGACGAAGGGGCTTATACGAGAAAGTGTTTGGGACCCTGAGTATGAGCTGCAGGTGACTTCAAGCCTCCATGCCAAAGGGAGGTAAGAGCGCTGGGGCCGGCAGGAGACCCTGACCTACCTGACCCTTCTTGGCGGCCACTGACTGTTGGGACCCCATGCCAGAGCTGTCCATGACTGACCAAGGCTTGGTCTGAGAGAAGTGGTGCAGGAAGCCGTCACAGAGGCTGGAAGAAGCCTCTTTGGTCAGGTGTGGGCTCTCGGGACAGATGCTGAGGCTGGGGCAGAGCAGTAGAAAGACTTCTGGATTGGGCGCTGTTACCGAGGTAGAATTAGGAGAGGTGGGGCAGCGGAGATGAGCAGTTGGCTGTCCTCAGGAATAAAGAAAAGCAGCCAAGCCAGTCTGAACCTCGGGGGTAAGAAAGCAGTTGCCTCGAAATGCTGCCTGGCCTGTGTGTGGGGAGACTCTCCGAATGTCTGTGCAGCTGCTTATCTGCTTCTGCCCCCCAGCTGCTGACGGCCCTTTTTAATTGGAGCAGATTTTTACAGAGCCAGACAAGTGTCCATTCTTTCACTTCCCACATGTTCCATGGTGGCAATTAACAGTTAAGGAAAAACATAGTAGGAGCCTAAAGAACTTCTAGTGCAGTTTAATCCCAAAGGACAGATGTGGAGAACAGCCAAGGCCAGGCACCAAGATGAGGATGGAGGCTCCGCAGCCCTTCACTTAGTGCCGTTTCCGGAGAGGGGCGCTTTCTCTGGAAAGCAGAGCCCAGGGAACAGAGGCCTGGTCCGGTGAAACCTGTTGCCAGATGAAATAGCAATTCTCACACACGCACCGGAGAAAATAAGAAAGGACACCACTGGATTCTGATGGAACTGGCTCTTCTTAAATAGTTGGAGAAGCCCCGCTGGTGGTCCTCGCTGGACTTGGGTCTGTAGCCTGCCCCTCAGATCCACGTGCCGCCCGGCAGTATCCTCACTGAGTTCTGGTGCTCGGGGCAGGCCAGCTCGAGGGCACCCAGGAGCATTGACCACCTGGATGCCCAGCAGCCACACAGGCGTGGAGACGGCTCCTCTGATTGGTTGTGCCCTGACAGGGCCTCCCTCTGTGCCCCCATTCTTGGGTGTCCCGTCTCCTTTGGACATACAGCCCAGCAGTCAAGCTCACCTCCTTTACAGTGCCACAGACCCCAAAGTGGATTGTGGCTGACTGTGAAAACTGAGCTGGTCACCAAGTTAGGTGGGGTTGTGGTGGCCGGGGTGCTGTGACTCGGACCTTTTACCCAAGGAGTTGCTTCCTGCCCACTCTTATGAAATAGGCCCCGGGCTCTCCCTTCCCATCCTGCGCTCAGAGCTCAACTCCTCCACCTAGACCCCAAACAGCTTCTCAGTGGTTTCATTCCAGGAGCACACAGTCGCCTCCAGCCATGTGCTCCTCCGCAAAGTGCTTGTGTGTCCAGCTTGTGTGTCCGGACCAGGCAGCCTGTCTGACATCATCCCCTGGGGATTTTCCCTAAAGGCTGTTTGCTAATCCCTTACATAGACGTCTAGCTGTGTCCTTCACAGCCCTGCCGTGGTGACACACAATCTAATCATCCTACTTTTAGACTAATCTCAGTTTTAAGGACAGGCCCAAACTCATTTCTCTAGTGTTCTATTTGTCTTACTTTGGCCAATTCAGACTATATTCAGTCCTGTCTTATTCAGAAAATGAAGACACTGTTCTACGAAGGAGAATGGAGCAAGAAGATGTGGCCGTACCCCTGGTCCCTGGCCAAGGTTGACAAGCAGGTGGGGAGGGAGCAGGCTGGGAGAGCATAGCAGACACCACACACACAGAAGGGCAGCCTAGAGGAGCCAGGAATATGAGTTTCTGTGGAAGTTTCTGCAACTTATAAACAATTACAGATTTTTAAAAAATCATTTTATTGGGTGCTCGTACAACTCAACACAATCCATACATACATCCATTGTATCAGGCACATTTGTACATTTGTTGCCATCATCATTCTCAAAACATTTGATTTCTACTTGAGCCCTTGGTATCAGCTCCTCATTTTTCCCCTCCCTCCCCCATGAACCCTTGATAATTTACAAATAATTATTTTGTCGTGTCTTACACTATCCACTGTCTCCCTTCACACATTTTTCTATTGTCCGTGTTCTGTTGTTCTGTTATACGTAGATCCTTGTAATCAGTTCCCCCTCTCTAACCCACCCTCCTTTCACCCTCCCAGTCTCACCACTCTCACCACTGGTCCTGAAGGGATCATCTATCTGTCTTGGATTCCCTGTGTTTCCAGTTCCTATCTGTACCAGTGTACATCCTCTGGTCTGGTCTAGCCAGATATTTAAGGTAGAATTGGGATCATAGTTGGAGGGGGGGGTAGCATTTAAGAAATAGAGAAAAGTTGTATGTTTCATCGTTGCTACCCTGCACCTTGACTGGCTTATCTCCCCGAGATCCTTCTTTAAGTGGATGTCCAGTTGCCTACAGATGGACTTTGGGTCCGCGCTCCCCCTCATTCACAATGATTTTTTGCTGTTTGATACCTCATCCCTTCGACACCTCATGATCGCACAGGCTGGTGTGCTGCTTCTATGTGGGCTTTGTTGCTCCTGAGCTAGATGGCCACTTATTTATCTTCAATCCTTTAAGACCCCAGACACTATCTCTTTTGATAGCCGGGCACCATCAGCTTTCTTCACCACATTTGCTTATGCACCCGCTTTGTCTTCAGTGATCATGTCAGGAAGGCGAGCATCATGGAATGCCAGTGTAAACAGAACAAAATGTTCTTGCATTGAGGGAGTACTTGAGTGGAGGCCCAATGTCCATCTGCTATCTTAATACTCAATCTATAAATATATGCACATAGATCTATTTCCCCATCATCATTAAAAATGTATTTACATATGTACATGCCTGTATTTAGACCTCTATCAATACCTTTTGTCTCCCTAGTTCTTTCCTCTATTTTCTTGTACTTTCCTCTTGTCCCACCATGATGCCCTGCCTTCATTTGGATTTCCGTAATGCCTCGGTTACATTGCCCTTCATCAAGCCCTACCAGGCCTCTTACACCCTCCCCACCACTGATTATGGGCCACTTGTTGCTCCCTTGTCCCTGGATTTGGTAACACTACTTCCTTTCCCATTACAGATCTTTGAAATCTTAAACACTGACAGGTGAGTCTGATTGAACCCATAGGCCACTTTCTCAGCTTCAGCCCCACGTGGAGGTGTGAGCTTCTGGTTAGATGACTCGAAAACCACCTCCAAACTCACTGCCATCGCGTCGTCGCCAACTCATAACAACTCTGTGGAGCCGAGAACTGCCCCTTGGGGTTTCTGAGGGAGTCTTCTGGGGAACAGACACCTCATCTTTCCTTGCTCTCTGAGCGGCTGGTGGGTTTGGAATACAGAAATTGAAGTTAGCACCCAACGCACTACACTGAGAGAGCTCCTAGATGACTAGGTTATTCCAAGGTGAGAAGTCTTTTGCAGGGCACTCAAGCCTACTTCAGCTCATAGTGTCCCCATGTGACAGAGTAGAGCTGCCCACTCACTGGTACGGAGTTTGGCCTTTTGGAACATTTACAAGAGCATATTCCCAGGTCTTTTTCAGAGAGCGCCAACCTATTGGTTAGCACCCACTGTGCCACCAGGGCTCCTCTGGGAAGCATTTCAGCCCATTCCTAGTACTGTACCACTACCTTGTTTTCCTCTCAAAGCCTAATGATTGTTTTGTGTCCTTTTACTTGCGTTAGAGCCTCTCTTACTTATTGAGTGGTCTTTATTCTTTTTAAGGTCAAAACTGAAGATGGAAGACATAAAAGAAGTAAATAAGGCACTGAAGGTACTGGACTATGGTTACTAGCTGAATCGTCACAACTAATAGCAGACTGTCGGCTTGTGCAATGCAACTGCCCTTAAGTGTCTCTATTTGCTCACAACTCTTGGGCGAGAATGTGTGGTTGAGGCTGTGGTAGCTGTCACCTAATTCCAGAGAAGAAAAATGCTGCCCACACAACAGGGTGGTAGCTTGGCTGGGATGGAGCTGCAGAAAAGTGGCAAGGCCAAATCTAGACCCAATCTTCTGACTCCGGGTCCTCTGCTGTAAGTCCAGGAATTGAAAGGGGAGCCTGTAGTTTAACCCCGCCAGCAGATTCACAGGAGACTTGATCTAGGAAACCTAGGGTCACCATTATTGAGAACCGACAGACATACCAAGAGAGAAACAACCTGCGCTGTGGGCCTAGGCCGGCGGGGGAATCGTGACTAGAGCCCATCCAGGGCCAGCGAGCCATCGCCCATCCCATTGAAGGGCGGCTTCCACCCTTGGGCCTCAGTTGTGGCAGCAATGCAAAATCAGCCCTCTGCTGTAAGGCAAAGGAAGGAGCCCTGGCGACCCAATGGGGTTAAGCAACAGGCTTGCCAACTACGTCAGTGGTTCAAGCTCACCAGCTGCTCCTCGGGAGAAAGCTAAAGCTGTCTGTTCCCCTGAAGATTTTGTCTTGGAAACCTATGGAGGGTCCCTGTGAATCGGAAGCCACTTGATGACAATGGAGGCAGTGTGGTTTCCAGGTGGCAGCCCTGTGCTTTATTTCAGATCAGAGATCCCCCACGTTAAGAACTGACATCAGCTTAACAGCTGCTTCTCCAGTTTCCCAAGTACAAAGGCAAGAGTTCTTTAAAAAAAAAAATTCTCAAACTCACTGCCATCAAGTTGATGCCAACCCTAGTTTGTTAACTGCCATCAAATCTGCCCAGCTCCCGGCAGCCTCACACACAGACAACAGGACACATTTGATCCGGCGACGTTCTCATGATGGGTATCGTCAGACTGCTGTGACCCATAGGCTACTTTGAAGTAGACCAGGCCTTGAGCAGCATACAGACCTCCACTGACCGATGGGCAGTGGCTGGGCATGCAGTGCAGTGACCAGGAGTCAAACCAGGTTCCCCAATGGGGGGGCAAGAATTCTACTGGAGCCACCAATGCCTCATACTTAACAGTTCAATCTAGTTAATATTCTCCCTTATCAATTGAAAGCTCCTCAGATATAAGGACACTGCATCCCTGTGCTGCTCACAAGTGTGGGTGCCAAGTGATGACAGCAGACTGATTCAAGACCTTAGTACGCACTCCACAACCTGGCCCAAAAAAGCCCTGCCTTCCGTCAACTCTAACTCAGTGACCCCATAGGACAGAGTAGCACTACTCCTGTGGCTTTCCCAGACGAAATCTTGAAAGTAAAAGCCTCAGCTGGTGGTGACCTTGTGGTTCAGCAGCCTAAGGCATAGCCACACCACCACCAGAGCTTCTCAGAAAAATCACCTTCTAAACCGACAGCTGCAGCGCTGTAGAGTTGGCCTGATCCGCTCTCTGCTGCAGTAAGTTGTCTTACTCTAGTCTCGCTGGCCTTTTTTGCGCCTGCCAGTTCAGCAAGTCCCTCTGGAGAGTCTCAGTCAGGTGTGGGGCTGCACACAACAAACAGAATTTGACACTTTACCTCAGCCAAAAAGAATTTATTGAAAAGGGTATGGGTGAGTCTCAGGTTAACAGGAGGCTGGGGAATCGGGCTTGACAGTTGATGGGCAGTGTGCAGAGGCAAAAGGAGGTGCTACTACTGAGCATGCACTCAACTGTGGCCAAGGTGGGGGAAGGGCACCTTCAACTCGTCCTGGTAGGCTGAATTCCTAACAGGGCCAATTGTCTCCCAGTCTAGGAGATATGATGAGATTAGGTTTTCTTCTTCCTTCTCAGGGCCACACTTGGCTAAAAGATGACGAAGCAACACACTGTAAACAGTGTGAGAAGGAATTCTCCATTTCCCGGAGGAAGGTACGTGGGTGAGCCCTGGGGCATGAATTATTGTTACAGACCAGGCTCATACGTCTGCCCTCACCCAGGGTCTGCCCTCACCCAGGTATGGACTCCCTGTTCTACCAGCTCTCAAACAGCCCCAACTTTCCTGCCCATGCCCACCTCTGAGGGCCCTCTCAATGACTGGCAAATGCAATGGGACTTGGGCTTTCTCAGATGCAGGGCTGCTTTGTAGCTACAAGACCATCGTGTAGGGGACTTTGGCACACTCTATGGCAGGGGTGTCTAACTGATGACCCATGGAACGCATGCGGCCCCCGAGGTTAATTTTTTGGGGCCCGAAGTGTTCTGAAATAAAAATAGAAAAATTATGAAGAAAAAAGCACTTAGCGGGGAGATCAAAGCAATACTGTACACATATTCTGTTACATTTTATTTCAGAGCATTGTGGGCCACCAGTGTGCCACCCTGCTCTATGGGAACCTATAGGATAGCATGTCTCAGGACCAGCACCCAGGCAGCAGTCTTAGAGGGCCCCAAGCCAAAGCGAGCCTGCCTTCTGAGTCGAGGAGCCTCTGCTTTGGCTGAGCCACATAGCCCAAGTGACATTGGGGGCTATTAAAATTGAGCACCTGCCATCAACTACCATGTGTTCTCCTCAGCTCTCCATTAACAGCCCATCGCTGAGAGAAGGAATTCCAGTCACTGACCCACTGTAGGGTCAGTGAGTACAAGTGGAAGGGCCATCCCCCAAACCCTCCTGAGGCCTTCCCTTGAGGTCACATGTATGCAGGAGTCAACAGTCGGCTGGGCTGCCCTGGCCTAAGGGAGCACAGCAGTTAAAGGGAATGAACTGAAGCCCTGTATAAAGACAAGTACAATTAAGACCTTTGTCTTAAAATGTTATCTATGGGTTTTACAAGAATGTAAAAGTAGAAGCAATGGGAAAGGCTTAGCAGCACTCATTCCTAATATCCATTGTCTAGGGGAGGAACCTGGCACATGGGCCTCTTTGCCCATTCAGGGAGGGAGATGGGGCCAGACCTATGTACCTTTTTCCCGTCTTCTAGCACCACTGCCGCAACTGTGGCCATATCTTCTGCAACACATGCTCCAGCAACGAGCTGGCCCTGCCCTCCTACCCCAAGCCAGTCCGCGTGTGCGACAGCTGCCACACCCTGCTCCTGCAGCGCTGCTCCTCCACCGCCTCCTAAGGACCGTCCTCCAGAGGGGCGGCGGCAGCCTCAGAAGGAACGGTGCCACTCTCTGGGTCTCAGGGTAACAATCAGGGCTTCAGGACATCTGTTGTTTCCCAAGATATTAAGGGAAAGAAGAAAATTTTCACCAGGGCTGCCAGCATTCTGGCCAATTGCTCAGCGGAACTGGATGCTGGGCTTCCGGCTTCAATTTGTATGGAATCAGGTCCTCTGGATGCGTCTTCTCCAGCTTCACGCGACATCACTGGTGTTTCTTCAGATGGAACGTTACCGTTTTGCTACTATCTTTTCTGAGAATTAACCTCTTCGGTAGCAGGTGTGGGGAGTAATTAATCGATCCTGTTCCTCCTTGTCCCCACCTGCCCTCCAAGCCCTTTAGTTTGTCCGTCAGCGTGCCTTCCCTGCTTCAGGTTTGCCACCCCATACCCTTCGTCAGTACCTAGGACTGGCTCTCAATAAAATCGGTTATTTTCCACTCTGGTGCAGAAAAGCAGCTTGTGTCCACTTCGCAGCAGCTCGCTGGCCACACCCTCGGCAGTCTGGAAGGCTGCCTTCATCTCAGGGGCTACTGAGACAAAGGGCTAGGGCAGTTTCTGGAACATCTAGCTATGCTGCGCCTAGGTGAGGCTAGGCCAGGCCGGCCCCGACTCACAGTGGGCATGCACCACACAGCAGTGGACACCAACCTGACAGCAAGTATATTTAGGCAACGAGATTTGATAGAAAATACGGGGAAAAGAACACGATAGGACATCATTTTCTAATCTCCAGGTGCTATTTGTGGGGCTGAGGGCTGACCACTTCCCTACCATATCCAACATCCTAGGAAGCCATTTGATAGTGCTCTAGAATGACAGGATGGAATGTGCACGCCATGTAAGTATTGGGCACATCAATCTTATGGGCCTCATGTTACCATCCACCGCCACTCCTCTGGCTTAGTCTGCCAGTGCACTGGCAACACGGCTTCAAGTCCCCTTTCTCTTTGCGCTCTTCCTTAACGTAAGGCTCACAAAATCCATGTGTGTCAGCGTTGGTTCCAACACTTCTACTGTGCCACATTTTCCAGACCATTGTCGGGATGGACATAATGGCTAAAGGAACTACATACAAGGAACTTCCCTCACTTAATCTGAGGACTTAGAAACTTCAGTTATGTCTGCAGTTATGTCTCATATATACATACTTAGAGACACGCATGCACAATCCCAAAATTTTTCTTTGGATCTAGTTATAGTGCATTCCAACATGCTTTGGGCCCTCAGGCAAGTTACTTCACTTCAAAGCCTTAACTTTTATCTACACACAAAAGGCAGCCTAGGTTATGCTGCCCTACTTTAAGACCCTTTGACAGATCCCACCACTCCCTGACGTTGAATGTTCTGAGAGTTTATCTCCCAACCTCCAAATTTTCCACCTATATTCAGGAAGCATATTCACACCCAATCCAAGTTACCAGTAGTTAACACCTGGATGGAAGATTGCTTGACTGTTCTATACCGTAACTTGGGAACCTTTCAGTCTGTAGTCCTGAACAGATCAGTCACCTGGAGGGGCAGGAGAGGGATCTTTTTTTTTTTTTCTTTTTTAGCATTTTATTAGGGGCTCATACAACTGTTATCCCAATCCATACACACATCAATTGTGTAAAGCGCATTTGTACATCGTTTCTGAGGGATCTTTTAAAACAGATTCTACTGAACAGGATCAAGAGTATAGTTGGTCCCAATAAGACCACAAGCAGAGTTCAAGATCACAAGGTTCTAAACCAAATTCTCTGGGTATTTTTATGAATATGGTTCTAGACTCACTTATCCCAAGTCTCATCACCTAAAGCTGGTCAAACGAAGTTAGTATCTTCCTGTAGTTCTAGATTTTAAGTAAGTTAGTTGAAGGGTGCATTGTAATTAGAGACTAGCTCTCCTTTAAAGCCCTTCATCAATGAGGAATCTTGCAAAGCCTCTCTTGAAAACTCCAATACCTGTTAGAAGACAAAAGCCCCAGACACTGCAAATGAAACTTACTCACCAGCCCCATTCTGGACCTCCCCCTTCACTCATGTGCAACCAGAACTGTGCACAAACATAGGAGTGCAGCAAGTAAGGAGCATCTGCAGGGCCCTTTACATCCACCCGACACATGCAGTGTTTCCATAGCCAACACCCATAGACCTGCAGAAACCTTTAGCTGTCAAGCCCACAAAACTTCAAGCAATGGATACCTTTGAAAAACACAAGCCTATACATGTAACTCAAGATCAAGTGAATCCTGACTCTAAAGGAATTCCAGATTCCCAACTAATGTCTGAAGCCAACTCTAAGGCTGCATTAAGTACTGCTTGCTAATATACCAAAAGACCCCACTGCCATTGAGTTGATCATAACTTGAAATACCCTGTATTTCCCCAGCAAAGGTAATTTGAGTTCTACCAAAACAGCCTTCAGTAATTGATTTATATACACTAACCTTGTCTGCATCTTCGATACTATTTGGTATTCCAGCTCAGGTGGAATGGAATGGAATTTTGCTGCTAAGCAATGGAATTTTGCTAAGCAGACAGGATTTAAAACCAATCCAAATACTAATCACCGCACCAGCTACTTCCTCCCCAAACCTAAAGGTCTTTATGGACATGCAGGGCATGCAATAAGTTCACTTGCACCTCTTCGCTTTGTGCAATGCTGAGCAAGTTGTGCACTTCCAAATCAGGCCACATGCAGCCAGAGCAAACAACATACAGCCCCTTCTGGAAAAGCCCATGTAAGTTTACCTTAATTGCACTGTAGGAAGTCTGAAGACATCTACACAAGAGTCTCTGCCACAGCTACACTGTCACCTACGCCCCAGGCAGGAATAGAGCACCAAGAAACAGTCCACATGACACTAAAGCATAGACAAGACAAATTGCAGTTTTTAAAGAAAGATTTATTTGACAAGTTTCATTTACCGCAATACACCTAAAAAGTAAATCACAATATAATGAGATTTAAATCAAGGCCTTAGAATTTCATACAAACACCAAGACCAAAATCCTAAAAGTATTGGTATTGCGTCTCATTTTCCCCTTTAACTTAAAAAAAAAAACACGAAAAAAAACCTTAAACTTACGTGCCTTACGGGTTATTAAATGAAACTAAGAATTAACAAACATGCCAAATGCTTCACTTTTTAATTGTAGACACAGCTCCTATGCTTGAGGTTTTTTACAAAAAAGGCATGTCTTTCAACATGCATTCAATATTCAACATGTGGTCTAAGAGCAACATTTAACATAATTGAACTGCTTTCACCTAAAGACGCTGACTGCGTAAGTACATCCTACAACTAACTTGAGAAAAGCTGAACTTGTTTAACAGTTATAGTTTACTCAAATGTTGGTACGCTAGATGAATGTTTTGTGTTTAAAAAACAATCCTGATTTCCACTTAGAGTAAGCATGAATCACAAGCTTATATTGCAAAACTGTTACACTTTTTATCTTAAAAAAAAAAGAGAGTCAGTGATCAGGATGACAATCCCCATCCACCACTCATACTGGACATGCTAGACATCCCTCCCATTCCGTTCACTCCCAAAGATGTACGGCTTCCACTACTGCAGTAGCTGCTGTTCACTGCTCCTTGGCTGCCTGCAAAGAGACCAACGTGACAAGTCAGGAGAAGAGCAACATCATCACTTGAATAACATACAGCATATTCTGAGAAAATAAAGTCTTTAAAATTTTTATCTAAGAGTACAAATGGCTGCTGTCCAAGTGGCAAGAAGCATGTTTGGGAGAGGAAACCAGACTCCAAACAAGTCTCGATTCACCTGTTTCTGCAGTACCAACGTGCCAGACTCTTGTGCTACCATTTAGACGGATGTGTTTCAGGATCAGATGGAAAATTAAGTTTAAAGGAAAACTAGTGTTTTTCAAAACTTGCAAAAAAATTAGTTGGTCTTGTTTTTAAAGTTAAACACAGCATATCCAAAAATTTACCGTAAACATTCACACGTGTCCATCGAATGGCATTATGAACAGGGAGCATGGGGGAAGTTTTGCCTTCCCTATTCACAGCGGGCAGGAAGTGAGACAATTGGACTAAGGCAACTCACTGTGCCCAGAATGGCAGCCTCCATGGAGTTGTAGCCAGAGCCACTGACTGTTATGGCAAGTGTTGTTCTAACATATCAGTATTTGCTATTGGGAATTTAAATTAGATTCTTTGAGAAAATATTTACCTATGCAATGTTTGATTGAAAATCACTGGAGTTTTCCTGTAAAACTTGGTCTGCAAAAGGATTTTGTACGGTAAGACTATAATACCAAAAATCACCATTCTTTAGACCAATTGAAAAAAAAAAAAAGACAATCTTATGTTAACTGACTAGGTAAATACGGTGCTAAACCCCACCACCATCTGACTACTAAAAATTTCCATTGAAAATTGCTTAAATGCTAACCAAGGCAATGTGAATTACTTCAATTCTTTAGTAAATGGAGGCAGTTGTTTCTGGTTTGACAGAATTCCAGTGGCTAATAATGACTAGTTTTATAATACATAGAAAACCACCCCTTCCCATGTTTATTAAACTACCAAAAGCATTTACGTTAGGATCAAAAGCATACATCTGAAAAACCCATTTTCACCAAAAAGCCTCAATTCAATTATTCCCAACTAAAGAAACCTGCCTCTAGCGTATTTGAAGGAATAAGCAGCAGCATGCTTACCATAGCCACTCATGCTGCTCTGACCACCATAGCCGCCTCCGTAACCACCACTCAGCTGCTGGCTGGCTGGACCACCGTAACTGGACTGGTTTGCTGTAAAGTTAAGAGAACATTAGAACCAAGCCCCCAATATCATGTGGTACCTGGTGGTACCGGGCTTGTAATTCTACATCTGGTTTTCCAGGCTTGACCTGACTTCACCTGTCTGTCTACCCTCAATGGCCAAGCTACTCTTCTGTTCATCATGAACTAATCAATGTTATAAACCAAACGTCTTCACAGCACACGCATCAGGCCTAAATCCACATGTCCTAAGTAGAGGCAATTTGAAGATATGAAATTGCTTGCCTAGATTTAGTGGGACTTTCTGATTACAGTATATCAATGAATTAGTATACTGAATACCTAGTTATCCCCAGTTCATGATGCCCACCCACGATCTCATTTTGATCCGGTTTTCTAAACATAAAATCTTACTTAAGCAATAAACTAGTTTCATTGTGTATTCCCCACCCCCACAATTAAAGTACTTTAATCAGAATTACCTAGTTTTACAACTTAGTTAAGTAGTAAGCCAGACATAAAATTAATTCAAAAATCAAAGCTATTTCTTACTTAATAAGCTTAATTGTTATACTATAAATTTATACTACATACTCACTAAGATTAACTTAACTTATATAAGTGACTTATACAGATAAGTTTTGGTTTTTAAAAAAACTAACGATATTTACACAAGCCCATGCCTCCCATCATTTGGCTACCATAAGCACCACCGCTTGCTCCTGCTGTAGAATTCAAGAAGAGTTCTACATATCTGTGCTCTGAAATGAGAGAAAAGGTATACAAGGTTAGCTTAAAAAAAAGACACTAAAGTGATATTTACACAAACCCATGCCTCCTAGCATTTGGCTACCGTAAGCACCACCGCTTGCTCCTGCTGTAGAATTCAAGAAGAGCTCTACATATCTGTGTTCTGAAATGAGAGAAAACAAAAGTTTGAAAAATGTTTGTTGGTGGAAAATAAGCACTTAAGTAGATGATAAACTTCCAATACTTAGGTTAAAAAAAAAATCCTATTTGCCTGATTTAAACTAAATGCATTACTCAAATTTTCAACAGAGTAGCACTTAAATCTGTTATCAAGCCCAGAAATAGTAAATGTATCATAGGACAGGATTCTCTCTATTCCTCGGTCAGACATACTGGAAGACTATCAGTCACTCAACTGCCAGGGCCCCTAACCTTTAAAGGCAACTTACGCATATTTGCTTTGTCTTTGGACATTGCTGCCACCGCATCTTCATGAGTCGCAAACTCAACATCTGCTTCACCAGTTACTCTGCCATCAGGACCAATTTCAATGTGTACTCTCACTGGGTTGAGCGGTGAAAAAAACTAAGAAATTTCAGAGAATCAAATCAACGTTCTAATATCATGAAAAAGCCAAACTGTGCTATAACAGGTTATTTCGTTGGCGTTGAATCCACCTGACACTTACATTATAAATGTCATTCTCGGTAGCTCTGTAAGGTAAGCCCCGCATGTGTACGCAGTGTCCTGTTGTGCTCTGGAAAGTAGAACCACCATCGCCGTACCTGTGATCAGACATTCCTGAAAAACAGTAATTGAGGTCTAGATGGACAAGGGTGTAAGTACTTCAGCAAATAAATCCAGTTCTTACTTTACCTCTTCCAAATCTATCTGAGCCAAATCCATAGCCATCATTGTAGCCATTATAGTCATCATAGCCTCCGTAGCCTGAAAGATCACAAAAGTACAGTCAGCAGAATGCCAACACAGATCAAGCTTTTTGGTCCATGCATATTCTTGCTTACCTCCACCATAAGCACCACGCCTCATCCTTTCAAAGCCAGCTCCTCTGCCAATACTGTTATACCCTCTGCCAGCCCCAGGCCTGTCATAGGGACCTGGCCGCTGCATGGCCATGAGTTTTCGAGGTGGATCGTAGTGAGTTCGAACTTCAGCTCGACTGCTCTTAAAGATTTCGATATACCTAAAGCATTGTTCATGGGGGAGGGTGGGGAGGGAGAAAAAGCATGTTAGTCCATTTCATACAGGTACATAGTTACACAAGAAAACAATCTAGTCATAGCCATGAAACTGACAAATATTTTAAAAGCCAGATTTCTTATATTTGCATAGGCAATGACCAGAAATTCACTCTTTTAAGATTTAATGTAAACTTTACAGGAAAAAAAAAAACACTCCTCTTAGGCATAAGGAGCTCAACCTTAAGGGTAGAGAGGAGTACTGTAAATGTTTTATACAGGAGGGAAAGAATTCCACTCAACTTCAGCATTTCAAATATTAAATCCACTGGCAGCATGTATAGCAAGTGGGCTAAAAAGCCAGCCTCCACCAACAGTCTAGCCCACACTACACATTTTCTTCGCCAAAAAATACCACAGCCTATGCTCTTAGTAGGAATCAGCATAGGTAAGCGCATGCTTCAATGAAAAATAGTCACAAGCAGAGAGAATAAAACCTTTGTGACAATTTCTTGAAAGCTATGCTTATTAATACATATGCAGAATATTTATACAGCAAGAAAGTTTGTTGCATTTCAACTTTAAAAACAAGATCAGAAATTATCACATTTTCTTATGGTAATATTAATTTACTAGGTGGGTGTTATTACAGCTAAAGCCAGGTTTGCATTAACATTTTTTTTAAAGCCATAGTCTCTCAACTCCAGTGACTAGGTTAATCAATTGGCATGCATGCTTTCAAAATTCAAGGTGGCCAAATTAACTGGGGACAATTTTAAGACCTAGTGTTTAATTTGAATGCAAAGTGGGACTTTTGCAAAGGTAGTTTGGACATTGTGGCAATTAGCTGGGACTATGGAATGCAAATTTCTTCTTTTTAAGCAGAGAGAATATGGATTTAATTGTTTACCATAAGAAAAGTGACATATCCAACCAACCATCCATCCCCACCTGTGCCCTATTCTTTCCTTGTGTTTCTTTAGAGCCTTTTCAGCTATTTCCTGTGAAGCAAACTGCACGAAGGCCTCCCCCGTACTCCTCCCCTGGAAGTCCACCGGCAATGTTATCCCATTTGGCACGATTTCCAACCCTTCAACCCAAGGACAAATAACCCCAGTAGGGGGGCAATATTAACATCACAAGCCCAGAAATGATTCTTCTTATAGCTTTAAATAAACCAGAATTTTAACTTTAGGTGAATGGTATGCTTTCAACAAGTATTGTTAACTATGCATTTCATTAATATGAAGTTCCATAATTACAAAGTATTTCTTAACACATCCCATGGTACAGTATAAAAGATGTGCTTAGCATGGGGTGCATTAAGAATTCAACAATTAAGAACACTCATCTATGCAACTTAATGTTGAGAATTATACAAAAACTTAACAAAGTCAAGCATTTAAAGACATTTTACTGTATTCAAGACACACCTTTGACCTCATTTTATATTTCAATGCATAAAAATTAGTGGAACTTCAAGTTAAAACAATTTAAGCATTTAATATACAAATTGAAACATTAATCAGATAATTGACAATAAAACATACAATCTAAACTTTCAACAAACAACTGAACTACACAGTACAATCATGCAATCGTATGCTCTAACAGTAGTATGATTCACTTCTGGAAATTCCGTCTATGAAAAATCCTTTCCGTGGATACTTTCTCAAGCTTACAAAAAGGGCTTAAAAGCACTTCCTAGAAAATATGAAATTATGTTCATATTTAAAGTTGATAGATAGCATTCAATTGTCACCAATTTAGATTTAAAAAGAACAATCAAAACAGACTTGATCTCAAATATTCTGACATAAGTATTAAGACTTGAAATAGTCAAGATTTAACACATACTACACTGAACCATGAAAGGATTTCTTGCTTTTAATTCCAGTTTATAGCATGAACATTATCTATTACTTAATACATATAATCTAACAGTCTTGATAAACATGCAATCTTATCCACTCTTCAGCATAAAAACTTTCAAATACTTTAGGCCCAGAACAATTTTAAATCAAGGCTACAAACAGTGAGTGGCCTTTATTATCGTGTTAGATTGACTGACTTCCAGTAAGTCAGTTCCGTGCTACACTAAATTATTTTCTGTAGAGAATGAGGCTATGTGATGTGTCTGACAACCTTTGATACTTGCCATAAATAACCTAACTTGTACATCAATCTTAATGGTGAGGGAGCTTACCTTTAAATGGAGAACTCTGCTAAAACAGCAATATGAGGGAAGAAGTTAAGTCATTGAGGACAATCCTCCAATTTCTACTCTGAACTGTAATACTAAATAAAGGCAACGCTAACATTTTGGCAATACTTAATCTCCACCTTTAAGATGGGCTTAAATTATTTGAAGGTCTCCAGGAAGAAGAAACATTAATTCATGTACATATGCTTACAACTTTAAGTCTCTAAACTATGCCACATTATGGGTCTGTTAAATCACATGTTGCCGGAAGCTAGCCAAAACTCACTGCTCAGCAACCAGCACCACTACATACCTGAGAAGAACTGAACAATTTCTTCCTTGCTACAGCCAAAGGGGAGTCCTCTAAGCCGCACAAAGCCATCATTGGCCGTGTCGGGACTATTTGGACCAGTATGCTTCAACACCCAATCCATTTCAACGTTGTTTGACTTGAATACTGAAAGAGGTGCTTAGAATTAGTCAACTTTGGAAAGCTGGAAAACAAAGTTCAGACTTCCTGGGTCTTTAGATAAGCTAGGAAGAGCTGCCATAAACTCCCTTAGGTGACCATTTCCATGCGGTCAAACACCTAAAATTCAGAAGGGGTAAGAACTATGTGTTTTATTTACTGTTACTAGGGCAACATAAATCAAACCTTCAACATATCTGTGTCCCATAGTTTCTCTGTCTTTTTTCAGGGCCAATTTGACTTCATCTTCTGATTCAAGTTCAACAAAAGCCTCGCCACTTGGTCTGCCTTCTCTGGTGTAGATGAAACGAATACCTTGAGCCCCGTTTTGAATTTTGCAGTCTGGAAAGAAAACCGCCGTTAATACATAATCTACAACCAGAAAACCACCTCTGGGTGATGCATGAGGATACAGACGAAATGCCTATCCATGCCCCAGAATGAGGTAGAACCCTTAAAACCCAGTATGACCCGAGTCTCATCCTATCCTCTGTTGACATTTCAACTCCAAATCCAAAGCAGCCTTTTAGAAGTCATCTTTAATGCCTCTCATTAAATATCTCCCAATCAATTTCTCTCAGCAGCAAAACTACCCAGGTCTGAATCCTGTAATGGTGGGGCACGTTCTTGAAATGATTTCCTCTGGGGTTTGTCTGTTTTACCTAACTGGCAACTACATGAATCGTTCTCAACTCAAATCCCAATGGCAGGCTCAATACTCACCTGAAAGGTGATCAGTTACCAAGCTAAAATGATTCAAGTTGCACAGCTGAAGCCAAACCCAGTCTTGCCTGTGGCAAGGTGGCTTCCAGTGTACGTACTTGGGTTCTTGTTTTACAGGTCACTTTCCTTTGTTTACCAGGGCTAAATTCAGATAGTAAGTCAATACTACGAGCATCTTTCCAGGGACAGCTTCATTTCTCTAATCTTACAATGGAAACAAAGGACACATTTGCATAGCAATCACTCAAAGAAAAAACCTACAGGGGCAAGAAAACTTTCCTTGGAGTTGGAAAGTGAGCCATATCAACAACTAGAGGAACACCGTCCCTTGATTCGGGAAACTGAACTGTTTTGTTTGTTGGTTTGTTTTTTGCGGAAACGCCAGCAGGCATGTACAGTATCAGGGCGGTACTTAATGGTGGGCAAAGAAAACAACAACAAAAAAACTCTCCGGAGTGGCCGCACTCTGCTCAAAGGGGTCGGGCCGAGGCTTCCGCGATTTCCATTGCGTAACAGGCCCGGGGCTGGGTGCAAGCACAGCTGTGAGCCGCGGCGTCCGCGCCCCACTAGGGGGCGCCCCGAGTCCCGGCCCGAACCCCGCGCGGCCGACCCTCGGTCGCCCACTCGCCCACGCCGCGAGCGGCCCTCTCGCCCGCCTCCCACTCACCAGAAAAAAACCGCTGTACTTCATCGGCCGAGCAAGACCAGGGCAAGCCCCGGACCTTCACCACGAACCCCTCTCCGCCTTCAGTGCCCAGCATCATCGTCTCCGTCGGTCCTGGCGTCGGAACAAGACTGCGAAGTGATGATCAGACCTGGCAATCAGTAATTCATCTGTCCTCAGGCCTCCGAGAGCCCCGCGGGCCTCCCAAGGGAACCGAGCTGCGCGCACTCCCTCAAATCCAACTACTCCAACCTCCCAACACCCCCTGGGGAGGGACCGGCGCTCCCAATCGCTCGGGGCACCCGGAACGGCTGCACAAAGCCGCCGGAGCCCAGGCCTGGCGCCAGCGTGGATGTAAGGAAATGGCGGCGGCCGCTTCCGCTCCGCCTCCTCCGACATCTCACACAATAGAGACGCGCGGCCTGCAGGCCCCGGCGGCCCAGCTTGCAATCGGCAGGCCACTCCTAGCTCCCAGCGGCAGCCCGTAACCTACCGGGGACTCGAGATCTACTCAGGATCTAGTATCAAAAAGTATTTGTAAAAATCGGTACCCTCGGAGGGCGCTGGGAGACTGAGTGACCGACGTACACTTACCTACACACTGGTGCGGCTCAAACGAAATGGCCAGCCGGCGCCTGCGCAACTTAAATAAGGCTCTTTGAGCAAGCTCTACGCACGCGCACACAAGTGCCCGCACCACCCCCTTGCGTCACGCAGCGCTCCTACGCATGCGTACATTCACAAACGGCCCCGCCTCCCGCCGTCTGATTGTTGTGCGCCTGCGTCTCAGCTTTCGTCCCCACGCCTCCAAAAACCCGCCCGGCTCTTTCTGCGCCTGCGCCTTCCCGCGAATAGTGATCGAGCCTCAGCGGTTTATAATTGAACTTTCATGCGCATGCGTTCTCTTCTAAACCGTTCTCTGGTTTTACCCCTGGGGTGGGGGAAGGGAAAGGTAGCAGTCAGTTCTCTATCGGGACGATATGGGGGTCCCAGGCGTTGGACTACGGTGCGGGGGTCCCCCCTCCTACCCAAACAGCCCTTTCTTAGCGCCCCTTGTCCAACCTAGAAGGAACAGACGCGGCCTTCGGTCGCTCCCGACCCCCGCGCCGCCAGCCTCGTTCTCCCTAGAGCCCGTCCCTGCTAATCCGTCCCAGACTCTTCCCGGGGCTAAGGAGGGGAATTCCTGCGCTGGCAGCCATTTCCATGGTTCCTAGAGTGTGTCCGAGCCTTGTGTGCCTTCACCTCCCCTTCCCAGCCGCTGTCGGGCCTGGGCCAGCAGTTCCTGCCCCGGCTTTCGCCCGGAACCAGTCGCTGAGCACTGGTCCGAGGAGGGCCCCCACCTGCTGCCGCACAGGTGGAGCCGGCGCCGCAGATCCCAAGGCTAAGTTCGGGTGTGTTAGGTACCTTCTGTGGTGGGTCCGACGCCTAGCGAACTTAGGTACAATAGAAGTAAACGCAACCTCAGAATTGTCATATTTGAGCCCATTGTTACAGCCACAGTATGGATCCATCTCGTTGACGACCGTCGGCTTTTTCTCTGCCGCTCCACTTTACGTATTTCCTAGGCCTAGGCCTTGCAAGAGGGTCACTCCGTGTGCCCAGAAGGCGAGAGGTGAGTGGTGTTGGTGCTGGGAAACTGGCAGAATGCCAGGAGGCACTCCTCACCCCCAGGCTGCTTAACCTTGAGGCAGTGTTGGTCCGTGCTTCCGAAGGACCCCCTCAGTCCCACCGGAGGAAGATGTGGGGCAAGTGTATTTTCTGAGCAAGTACAACCTGCCTGACAGATTAATGAAGTAAAGGGAGAAGGTGGAGCCCCGAGCTGGAAAAGCCATCTGTGCCTTAGCAGGAATGTTCATCTGCTTGCACAGGACGGTACTGTCAGGTCTTGTTTTAGGGATAAAGGAGATCCTAATTTCAAATATATTTTATAGAAACCCCCGTATTTAGTCTTAAATAGGTTAAAACTGAGGAACCAAACTCACTGCCTTAGAAGCTATTATGACTCACAGTGAACCAGGTTTTAGGATATAAAGGAGATCCAAAGTATAAAATAGAATTTATGAAGAACATGTATTACGCCTTCTCCCCCACCCTCCCTTTACCCTGTTGGTATAAGCTTCAGCTTCTATTCGATTGATGGTTTCTCAGCATCCAGGCACTGAGAGTTTTGAGGACTTTGCCTTGCTCTGAAGTTACTGGCTCCCTGGAGCTATGTGTAGTGTTGGACCTCTTGCAGGACTCTTGGCCCCCACTGGGATATTTAAGCTTTCTTAGTAAATCTGCAGTAATAGCCAGAGGGTCAACCCTCGATTTCGCTGGCAGAAGGTTTTCGAAGGGCTTTTCTTCTCTTACTCCAATGACGGGTTCTTCTCATCCCCAAGGTTGTCTTACTCATGTTGTCTCTGTCTGGATTGGGTTTACAAGGGGCCTCCCTCTTTCTCCCTTTAGTGGTGGGATTAATATTTCCATAGCTGTACCTGGAGCTTTGGTTTCCTGGTCGTTGTTCCATGGCACAGCTGTCCACTGACCTCCATTTATTAAGTCTTTACCCAGGACAAAGATATATCATCCAGGGGAGGGAACCTATTGCACAAGGTCATAATGGCACCCAAGGGCTTGCTGAGATTCGCAGACTTCAAAAGGACATGGGAGGGCAAAGCAAACTATCACAGAAGTGTGATTGGTGACAGACCAATGCATCACAGTTACTAGTGGGACGACAAAATCAGGAACAGGACCTTGATTGGGAAATGTTGTTACTCAGAAGAACTTACAAGATTGGTCCAGGGCTCACCAACCAAGGCAATCGGCATGATTTATGATTATGGGTACCCAAGCTACCCCCTAAGGGAAATTGCCCTTCCCTGGACTGGCTGGGAGTGGTGGAGGAAATATCACGCACTTTCCAATGCACCCTGTCTAAGGGCAAGACTGTTCATATCCCTGGTTTATGGTCAGAAGGAATTCAATGGAGGCTTCATCCACTTGGAAACTCTGCAAATGGATTTTAGGCTTTCACTGTTACCGTAACCTCTGAAAACGGAGTGCTCAGATTGAAGCTCTAATACACCCTATATTAGTTTCTGAGGCAGTAATTTTTTTAACCTATTTTATTTTTTAAAAGTTTTTAGTGTACATTAGGTAAAGGCTTATAGAGCAGATCATCTTTTTACATTCAACAATTTATACGTATTTTGTTTCAACTCATCCATCACAGTCCCTTCAATTTACCATTACTTAATGTGATGGTTAGGTTTATTGTGCCAACGAAGCCAGCAGGAACAGGTGGGTGGAGGTTAATCAGGTCACAGCTTGATTGAAGGACAAGAAGATAAATTGCTCTGCAAGGCCCACCCCTTCTCTCTTGCTCCTTGGTGATTGGACAAGCATCCTCCTGCTTTAGCTAGTTCTCTGCTTCAACCTGTGTGCTATGCTACCTGTGGGCCAAGTCAACCGGTGGATCATGTGATGAGAGCTTGAGGCTCCTTTGAGATCTGCCTTGCTTGAGCTTGAGGCTGATAAATCCTGTCACCATGCTTGAATTGAAGACCCCATCAGGGCCTGCTTCACTAAGTTCCCGAGCTGCTGACTGTTGCTGACCCACCCTGGTGTCTGCTGCCTGTGGGCAGACTGCCTGCCTTGCCGGTGGGAAAACTCCAATGTCTGCTTCCTTGACCTTGGACCCAGCAGCCCATGTGAGTTGAAGGACTTCCAGCATATTAACTATTCCAAAGTGTGTTGAACTGAGCCCTCTGTATTGCTGTATTTGCTGTTATATTCCTTCTTGAGATATAGATAGATAGATAGATAGATAGATATAAAATTAAAAGTGTTCTGGTTTTGTCTCTCTAGAGAACCCTGCTTAACACACGTAACTTCCTCTCTATACATACTGTCATTTGGTAAATGCCACCTGTTTGATCTTAAATTCCAGATCTGAAGGGTAAGGGCCAGAGTCTTGAATGTTCCACCAACCTCTAGCTGACATTGTTATCATTCGGAGTTCTGTTCCACATTTTCTCCCACTCTAGTCAGAACCTTCTCATGTGATCCTTTCCACAGCAGCTGGCACCAGTAGCCAGGGAGTATCTAGTTCTTCTGGTCTCAGAGTGAAGGAGATGGATATTTACTTAGTCCATTAATCTACTGGACTAATTGTTTCCATCTGTCTTTCTATTTCATCATTCTTCTTCCCTCTGCAAGAGACCAATTAGATGGCAGCTAACATGAAACAATTAATACTCAGAGCTTGGAAAGATGCAGGGAGGTGTTATGTGTATCTTGTAGTTGAAATGTAAATTATTAGACTCTCAGGAAGGCTATTTAACAAAATGTATTGTTGTTATTGTTGGGTGCCATCAAGTCAGCTGAGATCCACAGCGACCCTGTGCACAACAGAAAGAAACACTGCAAGGCCCCGTGCCGTCCTCACAATTGCTCCCATGCCTGAACCCACTGAGGCAGCCGCTGTGTCTGTCCATCTTGTTGAAGGCCTTCTTCTTTTTCTGTGCCACTCCACTTTACGAAACATGGTGTCTTTCTCCAGGTACCGGTCTCTCCTGGCAATATGTCCAAAGTACGTAAAATGAAGTCTTGCGTCTAAGGAGCACTCTGGCCTTACTTTTTCCAACACTGACTGGTTTGTCCTTTTAGCAGTCCATGGTACTTTCAAAGTTCTTCTCCAGCACCACAATTCAAATTCGTCTGCTCTTCTTTGGTCTTCCTTAACCTCCCTGGCGGTAATCCCTGGTGTGGCTCAGGGTAAATGTTAACTGTCAGAAGCGGTAACCCCGAGCCACACTCGGGATCACACTGCAGAGATTACACTGTGATCTGACTTCCTTGTTCCATTCCTTTCCGTTCTCTGCATGCAGTGTCGCAGCAAGGGGCGGAACTGGGCGGGAAATTCAAAACTGCAGGTCTGAAAGAGAAGCACACACACACACACACACACACACACAGTGATACAGTGTAACCTGTGAGGATTACATTGTATCAAAGCAAATCACCTCAGATTTGTCCCTAGATCCGTCTCCAGTGCCCTGCCTGCCCTTTTACTGTCATTTGGGAAAATTTTTGCCTGGAATTTTTTGTCCATGGCATCAAAAAAGTGTCACTTTAGCACAAAAGGAGTTTTAGACCAGATAAATGACAGCGACAGTGACTTAGAATTCCTCGCAGAATTGAGCAACAGTGGTTCAGGGGGAAATTCATCATCTGACACTGACACTGATCAGATCAGTGATGACAGTGATGATTCCGCACCTGAGCTCAGCGATGTGCGAACTTGGCGCTCTATTGTCTGCGGTTCGGATCCGGCAGCTCCCCCGAGATTCCCGTTGACTGGAGCACCTGGTGTGAAAGGAGACGTTGACCACAACGACCGTTTGGCGTACCTACAGTTATTTCTGACTGATGAGGTCATTGAAAAAATTGTTACGGAGACAAACCGGTACAAAGAGCAACAGTCTACTACTCTGCTTCATATGTTTTCAAGAAGCAGAAAGTGGAACCAGTGAGCGAAGATGACATTTGGAAATTTCTGGGCCTAATAATACTTCAGGGAGTGGTGGGGAACCCCTGCGGAAATGGTATGGGACCACCAATAAATTACTTGCAACTCCATTTTTTGG